GATAGAGGGCAGTCCACCTAGAAGGAGTCTTAGAGTTCATCTGGGCCAAATCTCAGGCCACGAGGTTAAGGAGCAGTCTAAGGCACACAGACAGGGCACACCTTGGACCCTGGACTCCTGAGTCCTAAGCCCTCTCTTTACTTGCTCTTACTTGTGTTTTTTGACCTGCTCCATTTCTGACCTGGGCTGCTTCACCCCTTTTAGGCAACCTGGTGGTCCCTGCTCCCAGGAAGTCACCGTATTGATCCCGAACTGAGTGTGAACACCCGGTGGGCATAGCGCACTGCAGCCTAGAACTCCTGGGCTTGAGCAATCCTCCTGCCTCAGCCTCTGAGTAGCTGAAACTACAGGCCTGCACCACCGCTCCCTGCATATTTGTATTTTTTTCTATTACCTTTAAAAAAATGTTGAGATATCTCATAGTCATAACTTAAGTTTTAAGCATCATGATTATGATGAATACCCTTGAACCTGCCATTCCATGTGAGACCTAGACAGTATAGCTTTCATCTCCCCACCGTGGCTTCCCCGTAACTGTTCTTCTACTCTTCCTAAATGTTGTATTTATCATTCCCTTGTCTTGGCTTAAAGAAAAAAAAGCCTTGTTATATTAGTCCAAAACACACGTCTAAATAATAAGAGTATTCATGGCCAGGTGCAGTGGCTCACGCCTCTAATCCCAGCACTTTGGGAGACTGAGGCAGGTGGATTGCTTGAGCTCGGGACTTTGAGACCAGCCTAGGCAACATGGCAAAACCCCATCTCTACAAAAAAAAATAGAAAAATTGCTGGACGTGGTGGCTCATGCCCATAATACCAGCACTTCGGAAGGCTGAGGTGGGCAGATAGCTTGAGGTTAAGAGTTTGAGATCATCCTGGGCAGCATGGTGAAACCCCATCTCTAACAAACTATAAAAAATTAGCTGGGCATGATGGCCCCCCAGCTACATGAGGGGCTGAGGTGGGAGGATGGCTTGAGTCTAGGAGGTCGAGGCTGCAGTGAGCTGAGATTGCACCACTACACTCCAGCCTGGGTGACACTAAAGTGAGACCTTGTCTCAAGAAAAATCAAATTAGCCAGGCATGGTGGCATGTGCCTGTAATCCCAGCTACTTGGGAGGCTGAGGTGGGAGGATAGCTTGAGCCCAGGAGACAGAGGTTATAGTGAGCTGAGATTGTGCCACCACACTCCAGCCTGGGCAACAGAGTAAGAGCCTGTTTGCCTGGGCACAGTGGCTCACTCCTGTCATCCCAGCACTTTGAGAGGCCAAGGCGGGCAGATCACCTAAAGTCAGGAGTTCAAGACCAGCCTGACCAACATGGTGAAACCCGGTCTCTACTAATGATGCAAAAATTAGCCAGCCATGGTGGTAGGCACCTGTAATCCCAGCCACGCAGGAGGCTGAGGCAGAAGAATTGCTTAAACCTGGGTGGTGGAGATTGCAGTGAGTTGAGATGGCACCATTGGACCTTAGCCTGGGAGACAAGAGCGAGACTTTGTCTCAAAACAAAAAACAAAAAAGAACGTTCACTATTTTGCCTGTTGAGCTTTGTATAAAAGTGGTAGCATCCTAGGGAGGCCCCTGGGACTACACCTCTCTCCCCACCACCATGGTTCTGTTTCCAGGGTCACTCATGTTGTTGGTTGTAGCTGCAGGTCATCCACATCTGCTTCATTCTCCGGTGCTGTTTCCTGTTTGGACCCCTTAGGGTTTGGGATGACTTCCAAGCAAATGGCTCCAGTTAACTCTAATTTTAATGTTTTACAAGCTGTCATTAAGCTTTGCCATGTTGCTTCACTTATGGGAAGCATTTAGTCATTTCCTGATTGATTGATAGTTAAACATCCTTACTTCTAGAATTTGTAGTGAAACATTTCCAATTAAGATTAATTGGGATTAATGCAAAATGTGAGTCAGACCCTTTTGCAAAAGTATTCTAGAGCCGTCAACAAGATTCAGCCCGCCAGAGGACTGTCCAGACCCCTCAAGGGGTGGGGATGTGATCAGCATATTGGAACTAAGGTTGAGAACAGTCTCCGAAGAAGGGTTGAAACAGTCTCTTTCACCTTGAGCTTCTCTGGTCAGCTGAGGTCTTTTCCTAGATGACACTGCTCAGTTTCTAGTTAATCCCTCCTGTGATTATATTCTGTCTGGATCAGTTTCAAATTAGCCAGGCTTCCTTTTATCTTAATTTGCTTTTCATTTATGGGAAGGATTGCTAATATCTAGCTGAAGACCAGAAGTTTTTAGGGGTTATACGTGGTCTTTAATTAGAATTATATATAAAATGTTTCCCTGCATGTACGGTCTTCTAGAGAGGGACCTTGTCATCAATCAGATTCTGGGAATCTGCAGCCCCCACAACGATTGTTTTTAGCCCAGGGCTTCTCAGCCTTAACTCTATTAACATTTTGGGCTGGGTGATTCTTTGTTGTGAGGAGTCTATGTATCTGTTTATACACATCCCGGGCCCCTTCCCATTAGATGTCAGTAGTTTCTTCTCTCCCAGTTGTGAGAAAAATGTCTCCATATATTGCCACATGCCTTCTGGCAGGGTTGGTTGGAGGTGTGTGTGTGTATGTGTGTGCATGTGCAAAATCATCCCTGGTTGAGAAATACTAATTTATACCTTTTAATAAGTTTTACTTGAATCATTTAGGGTTTCCTATTCTTGCTGGGCCAAGAGAATTCATAGCTATTTGTTGAGTTTGAACATTAACTCTAGTTTAAGGGGAGCAAGAGAGATCCAGGGCTGGGTTGAGGGGCAGAGAGGTTGGGCAGGGGAATCATTAAAAGTTTTTTTAATATTTAAAAGTTGTATGTCTATTTATATGCATGCAGTATCCCCAGTCATCAAACACATACTATTGTGTATTAAACATTTCACATGCGTTACCAAATTATTATAACTCTCTAAGGAAAATACTGTGTTCCCATTTTATGGATTAATACATAGAGAATTCTAGAGATTCGGAAACCTGTCCATGGTTATAAGTTAATGAATGGCAGTGCTGGGAATTGAATATGTCTCTCTAGAGTCAAAACAGCTTATCTGTGTGCTCTACTCTAGATGAGGTGTTAAAATTTTCTCTCATGCCACTGAGCCAAACTCATGTCACTGTGGCCTTGGCTGACACATGTTGGCATAGAAGTGCATGGCACAAGTAGGGAATTCATGGTTGCTGGAATGTTTCATTAAGCAAAACAAGTGGTAGAGTTTCTGGTGTGGTGTTTTTCTTTTCTCTTTGCAGGGTAGCCAGTTCCTTGTGTGTTCCAGAATGAATTGTCACTGATAGCCATCTTGAGCGATGGACAAGCTTTTTCTTTGCTTTCATTCTTTTTTAAAACAGCCGGCTGTATATACCATATCAATATCTTTTTAAAAAATGAAATGGACTCTCCTTAATAATGTGTTATGTCTTTGGTGACGTGAAATAGGTCCTTGCCCCACAGCCTACATGTGGTTAAGATACCGGGAGTATAAATGGTAATATTCAAAACTTGTATTTCATTAAGGCCAAATGTGACATTTTGAGGATTACTTTGTGTATTTTATGAGACGGTAGCTTGTTGATTTAGGGCTTTCAAAAATCCTGTAATTGGTCTGAGCAGAGCAGATGCCAGATACAAATCAGGTAGTGCCTCTCTGCTTGGGTACTGTTGGGGACCCCACCTGCCTTCCTTGGAGTCACCTGCACTTCTTAGAGTCGCATACATAGGTCTTCACAACAGTACCTGGCCCACCTTTCTCACTTTGTTTCTTGTCGCATCTCCTGAGGTGTAGCCTTCCGTATTAGGGCCCACCGTGCATTGAATTTACTTTGCACTTTACCGGCTTTGCTTCCGCTCAGTTCCCTTCCCCTCCCTCTCCCTTTATTTATTTATTTCGTATAGATTTATGGTGACTGGCACCTGGTGGATGTCAGTAAATATTTGCAGCTATATAGTGTGAGGACAGTACTGTGAAGCACACAGTGCATAGCTTTAAAAAGGTGCTTGGGCTGGGCACAGTGGCTCGTGCTTGTAATCCTGGCACTTTGGGAAGCCAAGGCAGGTCGATTGCTTGAGCTCTAGAGTTCAAGACCAGTCTGGGCAACATGGCAAAACCCCATGTTTGCCCCCCCCAACATACAAAAATTAGCCAGGTGTGGTGGCATGGATGTGTGGTCCCAGCTACTTGGGAAGCTGAGGTGGGAGATCACTTGAGCCTGGGAAGTGGAGATTGTAAGGAGCCAAGATCGTGCCCCTACACTCCAGCCTGGGTGACAGAGCAAGACCCTATCTTTAAAAAAATTAAAAACATTTTTTTGAAACGGTGCTTGATAAATGAGAGTAATGGTTGTCTTTCTAGTCCCCTGCCACGGCAGTGACATAGTTTATTGCATTTGCAGTCCACTTTGCTAGGCGGAGTGAGCTCTTGACTGTAGTGTGCCTCAGACTGTAGTGTTGTTTGCATGTGGCCTAGGGAAATTTATTAAGTTTCCATTGATTGAATGAAGCACTTTTAACCCCTGTGAGCATCTTGCCACTTGTTCTTTGCCTGGCTTTTCCCCCTCGCTTGGAGTTCATCAAGGAACCTGGCCTGGGGATTGTTACCTGATGTCTATACCCAGGTTACAACAAAGGGGAAACTTAATCCGCTACTTGAGTGTGCTCACCATGGAACCAACTGGGAGTCACAACATCTACAGCCACCAGGGTCTGTTGAGCAGGAGCAGGGGAGCCTGCAAGGCAGCTTTCTGACCTCTGCAGCCTGCTTCCACTTCTTGCAGGGTCTTTTGGATGCCCCCACTTGAGACAGAGACTGCTGTCGAGGGGGAGCAGACAGCCTGCACAGTCGGCCCCCTCCAGGCTGCTGGTACACAGAGACCTGGCAGAGGGCCTGCTGCACAGCTCTTTGGGTTTTAGAGTGCCTTGGGCAAGGATGCTTTTTAAAAGGAGTTTTTGGTATTCCTTCTGGCAAAAAGGACTGACACACTTTTATTTCTCCCTCCACAGAGTGATCAACAGCTGGACTGTGCCTTGGACCTAATGAGGCGCCTGCCTCCACAGCAAATCGAGAAAAACCTCAGCGACCTGATTGACCTGGTACGTGCCTCCTTCACATGGTTCCATTTGAGACTGCGGCTAAGAGTTGGTTGCTTTTGTGTAGCTTTTTCCATGCAGAATTCGCAACACAGGAAACCTTTTCTCTCCCTAACCAACCATCCCACTGAACTATGATATTCCTCCATCCAGCCAGAGAGAAGATGGGTTTCATATGGTGGTCTGTCATTCAGAACCATCTGTGTCAGTGAAGCCCAAGTTAGGAGTTCTAAAGTTAATGTCAATCTGCTCCCTCCCCAACTGCCTTGTCTTCAGTTTCCAGAAGCTTGCATTTAGGTGTGATGAGGAAGAGGCCGTATCCATCCAGCAGGCATTCAGCAGTGCACACAGGCCAAACACTATCAGTCTTTGCTATTATGTGAGTTTCTCCAGCCAACACAGTACAAGCATCTACCTATAAGATGCTTCCGTGGCTTCATTTCTCGTTGGAAAAGGTATAACAAGCAAAAGTTGGCTTATTAAAGGGCCCATCACATGTAGTTTCTAAATATTCTATTTATTTTCATAGATTTTTATGCTCAGGATGATCGGTCTCAAGACGATGCCTCAAATTCACTAGCACCATATTATGTGAGAGTGCTCAAAATGTTTTTAAAAATCTGTAAAGCCACAGGAAATAACAGAGAGAAATAAAATCAGGCCCTAAGAGACCAACCGCATCACACTGATCATTTGGCAATGAGTTCTGGCGCTGGGTTTGGAACTTGAGTCCCTGAGTCCCGTCCTCTGTTTTTTCCACTGTGTCCTGTGTCTTCTTAGATGTGATTATCCGTTGCCAACCATGGCTCATCAGTGAGGTATCTTTTTAAAGAGTGGGTTGAGAGCTCGTTCATATGCTCTAGGAATTTATTTAATTCCATGTATGCATTCAGCACAATTTTACTAGGAAAAAATAATGACAGCTAGGAGAGGCATGTACGTCATTCACAGAGAAAACTTTTCACAGCAGCCTGAAAGGTCTGTAGTGCGACTATCTGCATATTTATAGGGATGCAAACTCCCAGCTTAGAGGCAAGTGTGTGACACAGAGCAGTGTGTGGAAGGAGTTGCAAACCTGCTGTATCTCATTCATAGTAATTCAGGAAATGGGAAGAAAGAGGTTTCTTGAGGTCACTGGCTGCTCAGAGAGACAACTGCGCGTGCTTGTGATGTAAGTGGAAAGAAGGCAGGTATCAAAAAAGAGGGCCCCAGCCAGACAGCATTTCAGATGAGTAGTAACATAGTTGTGATGCAGATGAACCCACTGTGTGCTCCCTATCAGAGGTCCCGGGCCAGGAGCCAGCGAAGATGACTGAAGTGGACTTGGCGGGGTTTAGGGGGTACAGGCCTGTTGGGAAGGGCAGCTGCCCTCGTTATTCCAGGTGCTTGTTGCCCTGTTAGAAGTAGAGCCTCTGTTGCTCGGTTTTGGATTTTTCTAGAGGAACCATATATTTGGGTTTTTTTGTTTTGTCTTGAGACAATGTCTCTCTCTGTCACTCAGGCTGGAGTGCAGTGGCACGATCTCGGCTCACTGCAACCTCTACCTCCCAGGTTCAGGTGATTCTCCTGCCTTAGCCTCCCAAGTAGCCAGAACTACAGGCGTCCACCACGCCTGGCTAATTTTTGTATTTTTAGCAGAGACAGGGTTGCACCAGATAGGCTGCCCTTGTGATCTACCCATCTCCCAAAGTGCTGGGTTTACAGGAGTGAGCCACCTTGCCTGACCATATTTGGGTTTTTATGTGAAATATCCTGACTTTTTTTTTTTTTTTAAACAGAGTCTCATTCTGTCATCCAGGCTGTAGTGTAGTGGTACCATCCTGATTCACTGTAGTCCCCGCCTCCCTGTTTCAAGTGATTCTCCTGCCTCAGCCTCCCCGGTAGCTGGGATTACAGGCACCCACCACCATGCCCAGCTAATTATGTATTTTAGTAGAGACGATTTTCACCATGTTAGTCACACGTGTCTCAAACTTCTGACCTCAAGTGATCTGCCCTTCTCAGCCTCCTAAAGTGCTGGGATTATAGCTGTGAGCCACCACACCCAGCAGACTATCCTGATATTTAAACATTGGCCTGCCCGTTAAATTGGCTGGGTTCAGTTTTGTGTAGAACCTGGGCCTGAGCCTGTGAAACATCAGCTGCCGGTGGGCAATATGGGCTGGAGGGGTTAGAGGAGATGACCTTTATTAAGAAATACTGAAGTATAAAGTTGGATAGGTAGGAGGTATCCTTGAAAGTGAGGAGACCTTGAACTTGATGTGGTGAGACTCGTCACCATCAGCCCACTGAGTGCTGAAATTTTATGCAGTGCATCGGGTACAACCATATTTAAACTCTCAGCAGTCCTATGAGGTAGGACCAGAATGAGGTCTGGGAAGTACCTTCGCGTCTATGTATTTTTCTTAGTTAGAAATCTGCGCTTGATCCTGTGTGGAAGAGGTGGGCAAAAGTTGAAGGTGTGATTCACCTTTCATTTGGTCAGCTGTAGCGGCCTGTTTTTCTTCTAAACTCAGCATGAAAGCATGCTTGGCCGAATTTAAATTTAGTTTGCCAATTTAGTTATTACTGTATTTTAGAAATAAGCCAAACATAGAAGTAGGAAATGATGAGCAAATTTTTCTCAGTAGACCCTTCCTGGTGTTTAACAGGCTGTTTTGTTCTTATGGCAACCGAAGCGTTTTACTACAGCTGTGTCTTTTCTCTGGGACTCCCTCATCACTCTCCCTTCCAGAGATGTGCATGTAGCTGCTTTTATCAAAACCTGGTCAGCTGGTTCCCTTGCTGCCTGGGCCAGTTTTCCTCGGGCTCAACAGAGAACTTGCATCACTGATGGTGAATGAAGGAGAGGATCAAGAGCTGTCTTTTGCCATAGCCAGATACTGAATGACAGAGGTCAGCTCTGAGGTTTAGTTGCAGGATGGTACTTGGACACAAGTTGAAGTGCCAGACTGTATCTACCATTGATGTATGATGCAGTGTGTGACATTCCACAGATTACTGTCAGACCGTACTGCTTTTTTTTTTTTTGGAAACAGGGTCTTGCTCTGTCTCCCAGGCTGGAGTGTAGTGGTGCAATCAATCAAAGCTCAGTGCAGCCTCAAACTCCTGGGCTCAACTGATCTTCCTGCCTCAACCTTGTGAGTAGCTAGGACTACAGGTACCCACCACCACATCTGGCCAATTTTTAAAAATGTTTTCTTTACCATGGAGACTGGTTCTCCCTATGTTGCACAGGCTGGTCTCGAACTCCTGGCCTCAAGCAATCCTACTTTTCTGTTTTTAACTTTGTCTTCTGTAGAATGTATGCTAGAGCCGGTGGAGGTGGGATGAGATTGGGGTGGACAGCTGACGTGTGCTGAATACCCACCATGTGCCCAGTACTAAGCTGGGAACTTCTGTTTGTGTTATTTATTATTTCTGCAAAGTCATACAACACCCCTGTAAGGTGCACACGGCCACCTCACCTCTTTTAGATGATTTAGACTCTATGGGGAAGAAGCCAGGAAAGGGATGTGGCTTTGGAGCGCCAAGAGTTCTGGTTTCACCTGCTTCCTGGATTCCTTTTGGTCAGTTACACTGAAAGCAACAGATTAAATGTGGCGTGTCTATGTGGTATATCAGTTTTGCCTGTTGGGAGAGAAACTGTTAAATAATTAAATTCATTAATAATCTAAAATGTTAACACATAGGTATATTATAAAGAATAATGTTAAATTCATATAATTTAAAAGCAAAAACTAGACACAGGGTAAAAAAAAAAAAAAAAGTCCTTCTCAGAACCAGACCATTTAGGATTAGTGGTTCACTTTCCTCCATTGCCTCAGGGGGCGGCCTGAGAGGCGCCAGCTCCCCCTCACTGGCTGTGTGGAGGCCACCTGGGGCCCCATCTGCCTCAGAGGCTGAACAAGAGGCCAGAGTGGATTCCCATCATCTAGAGTGGATTGGGGAAACAGTGTTCTCATTAATTTTTTAATTGAAGTAAGGAGGAATGTCAGAATGGAAATGGAGCATGACTTTTCAACAAATTAGGATCTGGTTCCTCATGCCTCATTAAAACTGTATTGACATGCATTGGCCAGGCGTGGCAGCTCATGCTGTAATCCCAGCACTCTGGGAGGCTGGTGGATCACCTAAGGCCAGGAGTTCGAGACCAGCCTGTTCAACATAGTGAACCTCATCTCTACTGGGAAAAAAAAAAAAAACAACTATATTGACATGCTTCAGAAACCACTTTCTGATTGATGGCCTGGCTTTGAGCCCCTCACTACTTCTATGAGTATGGTACTCATAGAAGAGGCAATGCACTGGTTTTGTACTGGATCCTGTGACTGATCCTGGAAGTTACTTCTTTGAATGTTTTATTTTCATCACTGCTAGTGTTCTCTGGGAATGACAGTTTTTCATTTTTCCTTTTTAACTGAATTTACAAAATGCTTTATTCTGTAAGAATTGGTCTGTGCTGAGTACAGTTGTGGCATTGACATTCACGTGCAGTTGTAGTTTCTTCCCAAAGCTATAATTTCAGAAAATTCACACCGTTATGCACCTGTCTAAAGGCAAAGTATCCGGACCTTTGTTACGTGTAAGCTGGGATCAGTCAGGTGTTTTGAAAGCAGCTAATGCACTGCTGCTCTGTGCAAACAGCAGTTGTTCCTCCCATACTCACCTGGCCACGATAATGAAGGGGAGGTGGTTGTTTTCAAGAAAAGTCTCCAGTTTTAAGGCTGACAAGAATGTTAGGATTTGCCAGCATTCCCCATGAAGGGAATGGCTTCACTTAGATGTCAGAGCCAGGCAACTGTGGGGGGATGGATCCAGTCCACCAGTGGTCTGATTACAGAGTAATGTTAAAGAGAAACGTGGTAGATGCTTGGCAGCCAGGCCAAGGCAGCCCAATTTATCATGCCAGATCGGCTTGCTTTTTTCTTCCCAGCTTCAGAGTTTTTGCTGCCTTGGGATTAGGAGGCCTGCTCTGATTGGTGGGAAATGACCTTCCTTTGCAGATGGCCAAAACATCATTTTATTACATATTAATCCCATTGTGCTAGAGTGAATCCAGCCAAAATCCGTTGTTAAGCTGTTTCAAAAATACCCACACATCCACAAGGGCCAAGAATCATATGACGTGAAGACGTCCCTTGGCTTCATAAACTTATATGGCTTTACTCTGCACACTGGCAGCAAGAGCAGAAATATCTCGGCTGAGGTGTATTTTGAGCCCTGAGCTGAGGAAGGAGTTTGTTTCTGCATATTGGCACCCAGCAGGCCATCCGTCCTTTGCCTTTTTAAGAGCAAACCAAAAATAGCCATGAATCTGTTTAGGCAAGAAAGTCTCTGCTTGCAAACATTGGTCACTTCATGTTTTAATTCCTCCACTTCTTTTTTTTCCTTCCTTCCTTTCTCCCTCTCTCTTCTCTCTCTCTTTATTTCTCTTTCTCTTTCTTTCTTTCTCTCTCTCTCTCCCTCCTTCCTTCTCCCCCCACCCAACCCCGCTCCTTAAGGCCCAGCTCTTGGGTGTCCGCAGACTTTACTCAAGCAAGGGGGAGACATCAGGGCTGAGAAGGTATCCAGGCCAGGAGGTAAAGGTGGAAGAGACATCCTGATCCTTTACTGGAGAGTTGATAACTTGATAGGTTATTTCATTTCAGCATCTTCTTCTTTTTAAATAGCCAGAACAGCCCTCTAGAAATAGAAAGAGCCAGCTGGACATGGGGCTTCACACTGCCAGCCTCACCAGTTGGCACATGCATCGGGGCAGCATGATGCCTGAAGGGAGTGTGATTTGACAGATGAGAAGGCTGGAGTGCATGGGGGACGTATGCACATTCGGACCTCAGTGAACAAGTGGAGAACTGCTGGTTACATTTCCAAGAACCTGCTCTCCGTGAAGCAGCCCATGGAGCCAAGTCAGACACATTTGTAATTGATTGGTTATGTTAAGGCCAATACTATTATTTAATAGTTCATTAATACGATTGATTAGCAGAACATCTGATGTCTACTAAGCAGTGCCGCTCAGTTTTCAGTCTTTAATAGTTAAAGCAATGAAATGTGGAAATTATTTTTCCAGGGACAGCTGTGTGGAGTGAAGCAAAACTCAGTTGTGTCCCCAGGTGATGAACGTGCACTGGGCCTGGGACCCAAGATACTACCCCTGCCTTTGGGGATCCTGAAGGCCAGATAGGATCTGTTAATAGAGTAAGCAGGCTCACATGTTCTACTTCCCTCTTTCCCCTTTAGCATTGCCATTCAAACAATCTCAGACCAGCATTTTTCCTCCTTTACTTCAAAGACAACATTTAAAATGTCTTCTAGGCTGGGCATGGTGGCTCACACTTGTAATCCCAGCACTTTGGGAGGCTAAGGTGGGCAGATCACGAGGTCAAGAGATCAAAACCATCGTGGCCAACATGGTGAAACCCTGCCTGTACTCAAAATATAAAAATTTGCTGGGCGTGGTGGCATGCGCCTATAATCCCAGCTACTCAGGAGGCTAAGGCAGGATTGCTTGAACCCGGGAGGCGGAGGTTGCCGTGAGCCGAGATTGTGCCAATGCATTCCAGCCTGGTGGCAGAGTGAGACTCTGTCTCAAAAAAAATGTCTTCTCCAAGGCTGGATGTGGTGGCTCACACTTGTAATCCTAGCACTTCGGGAAGCCAAGGTGGGACGATTGCTTGAGCTCAGGAGTTTGAGACCAGCCTGGGCAACATAGGGAGACTCCATCTCTATTAAAATTAAAAAACGAGTTGTGCATGGCAGCATGCGCCTGTGGTCCCAGCTACCCAGGAAGTTGAGGTGGGAGGATCACTTGAGCCCAGGAGGTCGAAGCTACAGTGAGCTATGATCACTCCACTGCACTCCAGTTCGGGTGACAGAAAGAGACCCTGTTATTATTATTATTATTTTTTAAGTTTTTGCCTTTCTAAGGGGGTCTCAGCTAAAGTAGGTAAAAAGGTAGTGGATTCAGTCGACATCTAATGAGCACCTCCTGGAAGTCAGGCACTGTGTTTAACTATGGGAAGAAGTGCAGCCTTTATTCCTTTGCCTTCTCTTCCAGAGGTAAAAATGCAGGGATTCTCAGCTCGATCCCTGAAAAGAATGACCCTGGTTGGATTTTCTCAGGCCATTGGTCGTTGACCAGTGAATAAACTCTGAGGATAAGTAGCGAGAGCTGCAGAACTGAGTTATTCTTTCTGCAAGCATTTATTATATGTACCATCCGTGTCCCAGACACTATTCTAGGTGCTGGGCTTTTTGGGAGAACCAGATGAAGGGCCTTGCTCTGTGGAGCTGACATTTTATGGGGAATTAATTTCTGGAAGGAGGACTTGGCTGTGCCCAGCTTTACACGCTGTACATCTATTGAACAGGATAACTGGCAGCTGTGCTTATTTGTTTTTACTTACGCATAAAAGTGTTAGAGGCTCTTTAATGCCCAGCTCTCAGTAAGTGTTCGTCCACTTCTGTAACCCACTGCTTGACACCTTTTTTTTTTCTTTTGAGACGGAGTCTCGATCTGTCGCCAGGCTGGAGTGCAGCAGCACGATCTCGGCTCATTGCAACCTCCACCTCTGGGGTTCAAGCAATTCTCCTGCCTCAGTGCCACTCCCACCACGCCCAGCTAACTTTTGTAGTTTTAGTAGAGGCATGGTTTCACCATGTTGGCCAGGATGGTCTTGATCTCTTGACCTCGTGATCTGCTTGCCACCTTTTAACTGGCTTCTCAGTAGCTTGTGCCTTGGTGCTTCTCAGATTCTTTTCCCAAAGTACTTCTGTCAATAGAGAAATAAAGAAGAGCAAATACACATCTTTGGAGTTTTAGGGGAAAATCCAAAGGTGCCTGCCTCAAGGGGAGCATTTTATGTTTTGTCTTATTAAAAAAATTGTATTCTGTCTGGGTATGTGGCGTTCACCTGAAGTTACAAGTACTTAGGAGGCTGAGGTAGGAGGATCATTTGAACCCCAGAGTTCAAGACCAGCCTGGGCAACATAACTAGACCTCCATCTCTTAAAAAAATTAATTATATTCCAATCCATAACATGCCCACATGCAAGTCATTTTAACATTAAAAAAAAAATGCTTTTTCCACCAGAGTTCCTCATGGGTTTATGTTAGGGGTGGGGAAACTCAGCTTCCTCTCTCCCACCCATCCTTGGGTCTGCCTGGAAGTTTTCTCCTCTGGGCTGGATGTTGTCTCTGGAGCAGGAGCCGGGGAATGGATGGATGGAATCATTGGTAATATGCATCAGCCCCTACATAGTCTCTGTTGTGACTGATGTTTCTGAGCATATTCTGAGCTTTCCAACAGACAATGCTGCTATAGTTCCTGTTTTACAAGGAGAAAAAGCTTTCCAGCCCAAAGCCTCCTGCAGTATTTTAATGAACTCCATTCCTTGGAAAGTTGTGGTGAGCTTTTCACAGGAGCCTTTTGCTCTGCGAATGGGCGGCAGCTGTGGGGACTGAGGTTAGGGAGAGCAGGACTGTAGGTGATGAGCTGGCCCTGTTTCCCGCCAGTTTTCCTGGCCTTTCCTGAGGATGGTGGCCCTTCCTGACCCTGGCCTGTTATTGACCTGAGGACCTGCCACCTAATAGTGCAGCCTCTGATTTGTGTCCAGGTGGCAGCCAGGCAGCCCTTTGCTGCTGGGAAGAAATGGCATGATTTGCTTAGAAAGAGGAGGTGGGGCTTCCTGGGGTGCTCTCACCTGACCTGCTCCCTCATAGATTTGGCCAGAAGTGATTTTAGATTCTGATGAGTTCTGTTGCATGCAGAATAATAGTTCCTCATTTGATCCAATTAAGAATGAGATTAATTGCCTCCTATAAAGGCAGTTCAGACAATGATGCTGGAATGAAGGAGTGCAAGACATTAGTAGGGTCATTGGCTTTACTTTGTGTGTGTGTTCCTTGGGGAGCAAAGACTGTTTCCAGGAGACTGTAATGATACATCCTCCACTCCCGAGCAGTCCTAGAACTGCTAGCCTCGGCAGTACCCGTAACGGTTGATTTTCCCTTAGGAGAAGGGGCTTGAATTTCTCCAAAGCCAACTATTTTGAAAATTGGTGATCTCCCATCAACTTTAAGATAGCCACCAAGTAAGCTTTGGTTATTTTTTAGAGATTGCAAATTTCAAAGTAGAAATTATTTTTTGTTTGGTCTTAGGTTAACAGTTTGACTCTTTATAAAATACTTTTCAATTATATGGAAAAAAATTTTTTTGTCATTTTTAAAAAAGTTTTAAGTTAAATATAGAAAACAGAGATGGGGGTCTCACCATGTTGCCTGGGTTGGTCTCAAACTCCTAAACTCAAGCAGGCCTTCTGCCTCAGTCTCCGGGAGTGCTAGGATTATAGATGTGAGCCACAGCGCCTGGTCAAAATAAGTAAATTTTAGTGGATCTCCATCGTACTGATATTATGGGTCTCGTTATTTATATACTCATCAGGACCTTGTTTCAGTCTTCACAGGCATTTTGTGAAGTGAGTGGGAGGAAACCAAGGAATGGAGGAGGGCAGTGAGTCCCTAACCTGATAGGTGAGGGGTGGGATAGGGGGGAAGAGGTGTCAAGCCCAGCTCTTGATTCCAGTCAGTATTTTCCACTGAATTACAGCCTTAATGAAAATATATCAGTCGGGCGTGGTGGCTCACGCCTATAATCCCAGCACTTTGGGAGGCCGAGGTGGGTGGATCATGAGGTCAAGAGATCGAGACCATCCTGGTCAACAAGGTGAAACCCCGTCTCCACTGAAAATACAAAAATTAGCTGGGCATGGTGGTGCGCGCCTGTAGTCCCAGCTACTCGGGAGGCTGAGGCAGGAGAATTGCTTGAACCCAGAAGGTGGAGGTTGCGGTGAGCCGAGATAGTGCCATTGCACTCCAGTCTTGGTAGCAAGAGCGAAACTCCGTCTCAAAAAAAAAAAGAAAAAGAAAAGAAAGAATGAAAATATTACAGTGTGCCATTTCTTATATGCCCTGCCAAAACTAAATCATCTTTTAAAAGTGAAAATGTAAAGGAAATTTATAATGAGAGCCAGGGAAGAAAGGTCAACGTGGAAGTATCTAAGGGAAAAGGACTTGAACTTCTCTTCCTGCCACTGCTGGTGTGGTGCTCTGTGCAGGCCATCCTCCTGTAGAGCTTGACCAGCAGAGGAGCCGGCGGGACTGTGGGGAACCCAGGCTCAGTTGGAACAGCGGGGCAGAGGCAAAGCTTCCTATTGCAGCCCTTCCCGTGCCCCGCTGCCCCCGCCATACATGCTTTGCATTGTGTGCATTTGGGGGAAAAGTGCTATTTTGAAAGCATTCTGCCCAGACGTGAGTAGTATATCACTATCCTTTCAGTTAAAACAAATGTAAAAATTTTGGAAAAAAGCAGTGTACCACAAGAACCAATAGGATGGTTCAGTAAGGGAGCTTATTTCTAGGCAGTGTGTGTCCTTCTGCTGTTACAGAAGGGTTCTTGTCCCCCCATTTCCCTTGGCATTTTATCTGTTCTAACTGGTTTATGCTGGAGCACAGTCTGATTTTGGTACATTTGAAGGCGGTCACCTAAGCAGCAAGCAGGCGGTGCGTAAAGACAATTGCAGAGCTCCAGACTGAGTGGCAGAAGAAAATGAGTCGGAATTCTCAGAAACAGACCCAGTAATGAAAGAACTTAGAACAATCACAAGTGGTATTTCTATCTGGGAGAAAATAATTGTTCAAGAAATGCGTTGAAACAGCTGATGCTATTGAAGGAAAACACACTGAAACTATTGCAACAGCATGTAGTCATATTTCATATTTCTCACGGATGAAGAATTAAGATTGAACGTACATGAAAGACCCAGAGAGCACACATCAGTACTTGATCCTGAGTTGGAGGAGGCCTTTAGAAGGTGCATAAGCCAGTGCCGAAATAATAGCTTTGACTGCGTGCAAATTTGACTTAAAAGTTTATACAAAATTAAAAAGCAAAGAACATACTCTGAAAAGCATTTGTATCTTTTGGCAAAGAACTTCTCTCTTGAAAACTAAGAATACCTGCTGAGGCTATTGGAGTTGTTGTCCCCATTGGACAGATGAAGAAGCAGGACCTCCAGCAGTTTGTCCAGGGTCACCAAGTAGTGATGGTGGAGCTAAGCTTTGGACCCAGACAGTCCGACTCCAGGGCTCTTAACCACCACATGGCATTGCCTCTGTCAATAAGAAAAGTAGGAATACTTTGTTAGAATGAAGAGCTAGCTACCTAGGCAATTCACAGAGGACGAAACACAAACGCCTAATACGTGAAACTTTTGGTCCTCATTAGTAGTCAGAAGGGCAAAATAAACCAAGATGGGATGGCTGGAAGAGGCTCCTTCACGGATGACTGTTCCTTCTGCTTGGTGGGTGAATTCGTTTCTTGTTGGAATGTGACCTGCACATTTCCTGACTCTAATGAATATAACACCTCACCTTGGCATTAAGTCTCTCAAGAGACAAAGGGTAGTAATTGACTGGGAGAAGTCCAGAAATGATTACTGGATAATCATACTCCGTTATCCATTAAGAGCATCGCCACGCGTGTTGGCATATCAAAGGCTCTGAGCAGTCCCGCAGTTAATAGAAAAAGAACTGAACCTGTTTTTTGTTAAACCAGCATTTTTCCATCTCACTTCTAAGGCATGTGCTTTGGGAAGCATTGGTTTCCTGGGAAGGGTCATAACCTACACACTAAATGACCTGGATTCAACACTCTTTTGACAGTGGCCTTAAGTGCGATGTTAGCTAAACCTTTTATTTTCGTAAGTGTTTGGTAAAATGGGATAGAAGAAAACATGGCTTTTTTGGAATGATTTATTTATTTTTGCAAATAGAGAACTGCTTCAGGAAACTTCCTTTTGCTTCAATCGGAGGGACAAAGGTAGATGAAAAGAAAGCACGGTGTACATTAAGAAGGTGCCTTGGCAGATCTTACTTGAAGTCAGGAAACCTGGGTTGTAGCTTTGGGTCTGCCACGAACTTGCTTTGGGAATTGCAGATCTCCCTGCATCTCTGGCCCCCACTTGAAGTGCAGGCTTGATGGTCTCTTGATCTCTCAGAACTGGAGGTCTGTTGCCTAGAACTGAAAGAACATCACCATGGCTACCCTTCTGTTGATGTCACTGCTTTTGGATCCCCTTTTGCTGGTGGAAGAGGCATCATTTTCTCAGGTCTGTGACCTGCCCCACATGGTAAATATGTGGAGAGAACAGAGCAGATGCCTCCAGCCCACAGTCTTTTTCCCTGGGTGGCTCACTAGAGCAGGAAGAGAAGGCTCACTGGGACTTGAGTCCTGGGCTAGTCACCTTCCAGCTTTGAGACCTCGGGCAGGGCACTTTATCTCGCTGAATTCGTGGGACGGTTGTGAGGATTCAGGGTACATGTAAACTGCAGACGTGAGTGGAAGACAGACAGACACTTAACTGATGACAGCTGATGCCTATACCGCCTTCGTTGGCTTCCTAGGGCCCATTGGCTCACTTCTGGGTTCTTCCAGCTCAGAGGCTGTGCCCTAACACCCTGGGCAGCCTTCTGGGCTGCATTTCCACAGGTGAACCCAGTCCCAGCCTTGGCTCCCACAGTGGGGCATTTTATAACCCAGGGCACCTTTGCAAGGACTCAGCTTATTTACCTGAGGAAGGCAAATAAGAGGCCCTCCATCAAGACCTTGGAGACAGTCATGAGAACTGGTGAAGGTGAGAATCCCTGAATGGGAAGCTGGAAGCACCACGGCCCCACCCAAAGGCGAGTCATGGAGGTCAGAAGGTGAGCATCCAGCCAGGTTTCCATTCTGCAGAAGAGATAAGGTTCATTGGACATGAGCTATGCACTCCGCCCTGGTGGAGTCTCTTCCCCCTCCTCTTCCTGATTGCTTGCTAGGTACTTTTCTTCCTGCTTCTGCACCCTGAATGAGGAGCCTTCACCAGTTATCATTGGGAATGTCTTTGGAAGCCCTGGGAGAGAAAACCAGACAAGAACGTGCTGGATGGTCTGAGGTGGGAGGAAGGAGTCTTGGTTGGTCTCAGTGTCCAAGGACAAGCCAGCCTGCAGCCTCCCAGGTCATCAGACCCCTCACTCCTCAGCCATCCAGAGATGCCAGGTCACCTGTGAAACCCTCAGGATCCTTTCTGTTGGTTTCCCAGCTTCCTTGCCATTTACCCTCTTCCCTGTCAGCACCGCTCACCTCTTGCCCCTCTATTTACTCTGAATCTCTTGTCCCCTTCTTGAACTCATATCTCTGTTCTCCCCGCAGGCACCCTTTCCCCCAGCTTGAGAGCCTCCCAGTGTAAGTGTGAGGGTTCTACACAACATCCCAGTGATGGGCCACTGTTCCGTAGCTTCTTTCCTCTCTGGGCCTCTCCTGGGACTGCTCTCTGGTGGGAAGGCTGCTCTCAGGTGAGCAGCTCACCTGCTGCTACCTGTTCATGACCCTGATGCAGAAAATGCTTACGAGGTGCCACTAACCAGGAAGCAGACCAAGGCTGGAAGTGGAGTGCTTGTTTTGCAAACTTCCTTGGAAACAGGTTGGCCATTTAGTGCCCCCCACCACTCCTTTATATGCCAGACCAGAGCAGCCTATTTTGGTGTAGTTGGGAATTCAGGTTTTACAAAATTCTTGGTTAGATGTTTCTAGGCTGTTAGTCTGAGATTGGATGCCTGAAATGCCTGCTTGGGAGCACTGAAGTTGATGGTTGAGTGCCTCGAAATTGAAAGGCGCAATGTAGTCCAGCTCTTGTCTTTACAACTTAGCTGTGTGACCACGTCATCTGTGAGATGGGCATAATGAATTAGAGATGGCGGTGTAAAGTTTCTAGCATAGTACCTGGCTTGTGGTAGCTGTCTGCATGGGTAGTAGCTTCTGTGTGGGGTTCTGCGGTCACATCAAACTTGCACAAAATACCCTGCTGTTCTTCTGGGTTTTAAGAATAACTACTGTGTGCCAGGTACTGTTCCAGACCCTTTGCTTATTTAAACTGCACACCGCAAGGTTAATCTTTTAAGCCCATTTTACAGATGCGGAAACCACATGAGGTCCAAGTCTCACAGCTGATTAGTAAGGAGCAGAGCTGGGATGTACCCCTGAGTACAAAGCCTGTCTTCTCCACCATGCTGTTTGTCCCCACAGCTGCTCCAGGAATAGCTTTCTCCTTGTCACCTCAGGTCACCAGCAGACGGCTGACTCGGAATGCAGCTATCTTCACAATTCTTAGTGCCAGCAAGAAGTGATTCAGTCTTCATGATGGGTAGCTTTCCCCTTCCCACGTTGAGAGGATGTCCCATTCTGGTCTCCTGTGGTTAAAGGTGCACTGCTGATGGAGACAGAAGCGTCCATAGTAACAAGCACAAGACCCAGACATCCCAGCTGCCAGCACCAAGCAGCACTGTCTGGAGTGGGAGACGGGGGGATGGGTTCCAGTGTACCCAGAGGCTTTGCATTGCTTACATAAAGAAGCTTCAGAGCTTTAGAAGGGATGCAGGGGGAGAATAGTTCCACCCTCCCCCTTTTTTGGGTCATTGGCCCTCATTGGGCCGGACACTTCTAATTCACTAATCAGACGGTTTGCGGTTGCCCTTTGCCACATCTGTGGCTGCCTTCCTGGGCCTGTCGAGCTCACAATTAAGGTTCATTAGAGACCCTGTCAGTCATAGCACGCACAGAGCCTGCCTGAGAGAGGCCTTGCCAAGGGTCTGGCCAGCCCCATGCCCCCACCAAAACGAGTCCCTTTGCAAATGACTGCCGACCAAATTCTAGAGTCTTTGTGTGCAGGAGAAGGGGCTATGAGCAGCCCTTGTGAAGCTCCAGACTTTCAGGTCCTAGTGGGCCCATTGCCATTTATGTAATTGAAACCTTAGGCGAGCACTGGAATTAATGTTACAGATGGTGGCGGTGGGAGTGCTGTCAGATGGACACTTTGGAGGGAGCATCTGACAGCCGGCCACTCCGACGAGAGATTCGGAGCCAAATGCGGAAGAAATTGAATGATCATTCATCTCCCTCTCCCTCTTTGTGGAATATATTGGGACTCTTAATTACTATTGACTGGAAGCTAAAACAACACTCCTAGTTTAGAACGAAAGTCTTTAGGAGATTTGCCCCAGGCTGAAAGGATTATCCTTTATACAAGGGGATTTTTTTTTTTTTTTGCATCTTTCTGACCGTGTGCTGAACATCAGTTGGGAGTGAAGGCGATACGTACATCAGGTGTTTTAAAGAGGCTTGATTAATACTTCTTCACCCACGTTGTTTTCCTGTCTCATTGACCTTCCTCATCCCAAATGCTGCCTGTAGGGGCAGCCAGTTCTCCATGTTGTATCTAATTCACCGAAAGCACTCCATGCTGTGTGCCGTAACTGTGCTGTTAGCACGGGAGGGCCCTCTGGCTTCTGAGCACCTGTGGGATATCATGATGCTCGCCTGCATCCCCAGACCCTAACGCAGTGCCTGGCCACATGGTGGTGCTAAATAAATATGAGATAATGAACCAGAAAATCCCATCCCCAAACTCTGAGGAGAGTATCCACATGAGACATTCTAGGCTGTGTGACCTGAGACCAAAAGATGAGAGGGGACAGGGATGCCTTGTGGAACTGAGCTGTGACTCGGGAGACCTCAGCCTCTGGGACTCAATGGCTGTTGGTCCTGGCAGCTGACAGTATATGGACAGAGTCTTTAAGGTCACAGAGTCATGAGTTAGTTGGGGCTGGCTGCATACACCCTGAATATCTAGGTGACCCTGAGTAAGCTACCTAGACGCCAAGCCTCAGTTTCCTCATTTGTGGAATGGAGAGAATTCTGGATTTGCCTCATTCTCAAAGAGGACAGTTGTGATTATTAAAGGAAGTCGTGTAGCAAAAATGCTGGGTGCAAATCACCCGAGGAAGGTGGTGGAATCCCATGACAGGAGTGGCTCGAATCCATTGCTTTCCCGTGATCGCTGAGCTGTCCTGTTAGGGAGGAGAGTGCATGCCCTTTGTCAAAAGCAGCCTGTGTTTTTCTGTTTGGCCAGCCAGATGGGTGAATGCTGCTTGATCCAGCTCTAAAAGGTCGTGTCTTCTTCCAGGAGAGGGACTGTGAGATGAGCTCAGATCTCACAAGTGGGCATTACTGCTATAAACTTTTTTTTTGGGGGGCGGGGGAAGGACAGAGTTTTGCTCTGTCACCCAGGCTGGAGTGCAGTGTCACGATCTCAGCTCACTGCAGCCTCCGCCTCCCAAATTCAAGTGATTTTCCTGCCTCAGCTTCCAGAGTAGCTGGAACTACTGGCCTGTACCACCATGCCTGGCTAATTTTTATATTTTTAGTAGAGATGGGGTTTCACCATTTTGGCCAGGCTGGTCTCAAACTCTGACCTCAATTGATCTGCTTCACTCGGCCTCCCAAAGTGCTGGGATTACAGGCGTGAGCCACCGTGCCCAGACTTACCTACCTACCTACCTGTCTGTCTGTCTATCTATCTATCTATCTATTTATATTTTTGAGATGCAGTCTCACTCTGTCACCCAGGTTGGAGTACAGTGGTGCGATCTTGGCTCACTGCAGCCTCCACCAATCCAGTTCAAGTGATTCTCCTGCTTTAGCCTCCCGAGTGGCTGGGACTACAGGCACACACCACCACAGCCAGCTAAATTTTGTATTTTTAGTAAAGATGAAGTTTCACCATGTTGACCAGGCTGGTCTCAAACTCCTGGCCTCAAGTGATGCTACCATGTCAGGCCTACTGCTGTTACCTCTTGTACTTCACCTATTGAGTCTTCACACTGCAGGCGTTAAGCAGGGCATACATGAGGGAGGAGCTGCGACTAGAGTCCAGGAGGGAGGCAGGTAGGAGGGGCACTGGGTGCAGCTCGGGCTGCTGGAAGCCAGTGGAGACATGGTTCCACCTGCCCAAAGTGGTCACTTTTTTATAGAGTGCCATCCACCTTATCCAGCCCGTTATGTGAAGGTATGTCCCAATCCTAATTTTAGAGCAATTTAATGAACGTCTATTGCCACTGCTCCTCCCTGCATCACTGGAGTATCATTAATAGCCTGTATCAGGCCTTCCTGCCTGTCATCCCCCGCCCTCCCCAACCTGCTCTGCACACAGAGTAGTCTTGACAAAATGTACTTTGGATAATGTCCCTTTATGACTCCACATTGTCAGGATTGAGCCCAGAGAA